CTGGCGAGCCCCGGGTGCTCCTGGAAAAAACCTAAAAAAAAAAAAAAAAAAAAATTGAAAGAAAGAAACTTAAGCACATTAAATTTCTAGTAGCTGTGATCAGCGATAGCCAAAACTGACAAACCCCACCCCCCAATTTCTAATGAATGAATGTTTAAACCAGTTATGTCATATTCAAGTCCTGGAATACTACTGCTCAGTGATGATGAGAAATGATGGGCTTTCACAGCTCAGTGAGCTTGGGAGCAGTGCGCTGAGTGAGAAATACAAACTGCACAGCACGCGTACCGTGGAACTCCAATACAAACTGCACAGCACACGTACCGTGGAACTCCAATACAAACTGCACAGCGTGCGTACCGTGGAACTCCAATACAAACTGCACAGCATGCATACCGTGGAACTCCAAACTGCACAGCACGCATACCGTGGAACTCCAATACAAAACTGCACAGCACGCGTACCGTGGAACTCCAATACAAACTGCACAGCACGCGTACCGTGGAACTCCAATACAAACTGCACAGCACGCGTACCGTGGAACTCCAATACAAACTGCACAGCACGCGTACCGTGGAACTCCAATACAAACTGCACAGCACGCGTACCGTGGAACTCCAATACAAACTGCACAGCACGCGTACCGTGGAACTCCAATACAAACTGCACAGCACGCGTACCGTGGAACTCCAATACAAACTGCACAGCACGCGTACCGTGGAACTCCAATACAAACTGCACAGCACGCGTACCGTGGAACTCCAATACAAACTGCACAGCATGCGTACCGTGGAACTCCACACAGCAGGCGTACCGTGAATCTGCAATACAAACTGCACAGCACGCGTACCGTGGAACTCCAATACAAACTGCACAGCATGCGTACCGTGGAACTCCAATACAAACTGCACAGCGTACATACTGTGGAACTCCGTTTACAGAACACCCTTGAAATGACAGAGGCGGAGACAGAGCAGATTAGGAATGCAGAATGGAAAGACAACACCAGAGTGGAAAAAAATTGTGGGTGTGTATGTGTGTGTGTATGTGTTGCACAAGGAGATGTGATGGACAGTTACTATATCTTGTAACTGTAACTGTCTTGTGGTTATGTGGCTCTACATGTGATTAAATTGAATAGACTTTAGATGACACACACAAGTAAGTGCATGTGTAACTGGTGATGTTTTAATAAATGCTGGATTGTATCAGCTTCATTTTCTTGTTTTGACATTATGTCATAGTTACATATTTCTACTGGGGCAAACTGAATTAGCACATACAATCCTACTCTGTACTGCTTAACACAATTTCTAAGAGGTTTTGTTTTGTTTGTTTTTTTGCTATAGGGCATGGTGCTCAACAGAAAGAGAGACAGACAGAAAGTGAAAAATCACCCCTCTAGGGGGAGGGCCATGCCACAATCCCTTCTCCATTCTCCTCTCAGGATCTTGGGCGTGTGCGTGCCCGGCATGAGTCCCGCCACTGGATCTGGGACTTGAACTGCAGTCGACTACATGGGAGTCCAGTGACATAGCCATTATGCCAATTGCTGGTCCCAATTTATAGCAGTTGTTACAAGAACTAAAATGAATATTCATTTTGTTTGAGTCAATAGGATGGAAAAAATCCTGAAAATGGGAAGAGAAAGAGGAATGAGTTGTTTTTTGAAAATCAACTAGTTGTAGTATTTTTGTATCAGTGTTGCCATTGCATTAACTTACTGTATTGATTAGATTGATAATTAAATACAAGGAAACAGTTAATTCAATTCATATGGAGGTCACTTCAAACCTTATAAGACTCAGGCCTAGTTATTTGAGGATTATATATTTACTTTTCCTGTTTGCTAAAATTCACAATTTAGGCTCAGCTGTGCATTTTGTCTGTTAACCTCAAATTAACATTTAGCAGTGTTTCTGTAACCACATACATAGCGGCTAAAAGCGTTGCCCAGTGCACGTGTCCCCAGATACAGCCCAAGGAGGTGCCGCTCTGCCTTCTTGTTTCTGCTGTCATACTGCAGAGTGTCCGTCATGTCTTCCCAGTGCTGCTGCTCACTCACATTTTCACAGGCAATTTCACTGTTTAAAATGGCCCCCAAATGTAATGCCGAAGTGTGCAGTCTATTTATTATTTATTCATTGTTTATTTCAGTTTGACCAGAGAGGGACAGAAAGGGGAGGAGGGGAGGGAAAGTGAGAAAGCAAGTTGCAAGGTCCAGGACTTAAACAGCAGTTGGGCATGTGGGAGTCCAGCCCCTTTAACCACTACGCCACCTGCTGGCTCCAGTGCAGTCTGTTTTTAAACTTGAGAAGGGTACCATGTGCCTTACAGAGAACATATTTGTTTTAGATAAGCTTCATTCATTCAGACTTGAGTTCACTGTTAATGAATCAACAATGTGGTACATACTGGAAAAAAAAAGAACAAATTTGCCAGGTCGTAAAAGCCTCACCAGGAAGTGTGAAACTAATATTCTTAGTGTCTAATGAAACTGGGAAAACGGCGAAATGTATAGATTCTTGAGATGATGCTGATACAGAAGAAATGGTGGGCAGCATTGCTGTGAGTCTAAGAGCTGAAGGGACTTGTGGCCGCATGCCCAGAGTGACTGAAATGGTGAGCAAGTCCTGGTGGCACACAGTTCAAAAGGTAATGCAGCGTAACAGCTGTTGGCCTTGCAGGCAGATGGGTTCTACAGACGAGAACACTGGGGAAGAAATGTTCCAATATCTGCTCGATGTTATTAGGGGATAACCACATGGGTGAGCATGTTTCCATCACTGGCGAAACCATTTTGTCTCACAAGAATATTGGTGAGTGAGCCTGATAATGCAGGTGCCATCGGGTGTCGAAAACTGACCAGGCGCTTGCAGGAACATGATACCTTCCCTAAGGATGGCCGTTGTGCGTACACTAATTGAGTGTTTGTGGACACTGTAAATATCAGTACTGTTAGAAGCAACAAGTCTGTTTACTCCCTGCTTTTCCTCGGGTCCTCTTAACAGTTTTTTGTCTTTTTATGCACCTGTTTCATACAGCAATGTTTGAGATGTTGCTCTTTGTCCTTAATCTGTTTCCTCTTACCCGTGCCACTCAGTTAGCAGTTTATGAAGATGTTCTGGTTCTTTAGCAAATCAAAATAACCAAGTCTTCTAGTATGTAGGTTGCATTGTCTTTACTTGAAAAATACTGGAAATACATGAACAGTAGCAGCCAGGTTCATATACTGCTGCATATGGTAGCCAGTGTGTATCTTCCACTGGAAATGACCAGTCTGACTTCTAGGGCTATTACATCTGTGCATGTCAGCTTTAGAGACTTCCAGTAGGAGTATGGAGAAAAACACAATTCTTGTTTCCATTCATTCCAAGTTTAGGAGTACCATATTATTGAAGAACCTTAAATATAAATGATTGCTTTCTGTTGTTAATGGACGTCCCAAGTACTTGGTAATTGTGTCATGTCGGATATTCACTTGTCATTGCACAGATAGGCGATACCGTTTTCAAACACAAATAACCGCTCTCACTTTCCTTCTTATGTTCAGTGTACTTGTCACCTTGTTGCACCAACACCAGAGAGTACAGTTTTATTCACGATACTCTTAGCCAGTGCAGGCTTGACGTCAGCTGTGATCTCCGGACCTCGTGGCAATTCGGGGACACAAAGCTGGTTCACAACGAGGAGCTGGAGAAGAATTTCACTGCGAAGAGGTACGCAACTATGACCTGAGCAAGGTTTTAAATACGGAGTCCTGTGCTAACTTGTTTTTACCACTTCAAATCTAATAAATGTTACTAAGAAAAGGAAGCACAGAGTCTATTAAGTGTTAACTAGGAAAACAACAATACAGATCATTGCATTGTTACCTTCTCATAGCCTTTTATAAACTGAGAAGGTTAAGTTTTCGAGATTTTATTAGTTATTAAGTTTTATGCATTAACAGGGTCAGATTTCAGATGATCCTTTCTAATTTTTAAACTTTTAAGATTTTCTGTAGGACACACTTGTTTGCCAGAGAGACAGGAGGAAAAAGGGAAA